TGTACATCGAAGACACCGTCTGGACCACGCAGTGCATGGGGGCAGAGATCAGGCAGAAAGCTGTGGTCTCACCACCCCAAGGAGTCCATGCATGGGGTTTAGGGCTGCCAAAATAACTGGAAATTGAGGGGAAATCACCCCACAATCTGTATATGAGCTCCCCTGAAACCCTGGCGGGAGCAGGCCAGAAGACCAAGAGGGTCTGGATGGGAGCTGGACATGAAGCTGAGCAAGGCTCATGTGTGCCTGCATGTCACGGGGGACACTGTGTGGGATTCAAGTCCTGCAACTTCCCCCTGAAACCCCAGAAAGGCCCATCTTAGCAGGAAGGCCTGTCCCAGGACTGGAAGGTGGGCAAACCAGAAACAGATCGGCCTTAACAAAGCCTGATGCCAAGCCTCCACCAAGTCAAAGCGATTCACTGACAAATTAAACAGGCACTAAAACAAAACTCAGCACTCTTCGTAGGAAGACAACAGAGTTCAGGATCCTATGACACATCACCCACAATATCCATTATACAATAACAGCAAAAAAAATTATCGTCATATGAGAAATAGGAAAATGTGACTCATGGTCAAGAGAAAAAACAGTCAATAAAAACAGACCCGGAGATGGCCCAAATGTTGGGTCTGGCCAGAAAGGACATTAACCCTGATGGACAGAGGCTGAAGAAATGGGAAGTTTCAGAAGTTCAGAAGTTGTTTTGTAAAGACAAAAACTATGATATCTGAAATTTTGAAAAAATATATATCATTGAATGGGATTAACAGTATATTGGATGCAACACAAGAAAGGACCAACAACTTAGAGACCAATTAAGATAGAAGTCATCCAAACTGAGACACGTGTTAGGAAAAGGTTAAAAAGTAAACAGACTCAGTGACCAGGAGAGGTGGTGTCAAGTGATTGTTAATACACACATTGGAATTCTAGCATCAGACACTGAGAGGAACAGAAAGAGCTGTACGGAATATTGGCTGATTTTTTCCCCCCAAACTTGATCAAAAACAGCAACCCAGGGATTTAGAAAGCAAACCCATGCAAGATAAATAAAAGAAAATCACACCTTATGCACGTTACACACAACAGCTGAGAACCACAGGTAGGGAAAAAATTCTAAAAATCAGCCACAGATGGAGCATTCATTGCATACAGGGGTAAAACAATGAAAACCACAGTTAACCTCTTACCAGAAACCTGGGCCAGAAAAAGATGGAATGACATCTTCAAAGAGCTAAAAGAAAAACACTGTCAAGCCAGAATGTTATATACAACTATAAAATACCTTTCAAGGGGCACCTGGGTGGCTCAGTTGTTAAGTGTCTGCCTTCGGCTCAGGTCATGATCCCAGGGTTCTGTGATGGAGCCCCACATCAGGCTCCCTGTTCATCAGCTCCCTCTCCTTCTGCTGCTCTGCTGCTTATGCTCTCTCACTTTCTCTGTCAAATAAAATCTTAAAAAAAAAATACTTTTCAAAAATGAGGACCAAAAAAAATGTCATTTTTCAGGCAAACCAAAGATAGATGATTAGATCACCAACAGACTCTTGCTGCAAGAAATGCTAAAGGAAGATCGTCAGGCTGCAAGGAAGTGATACCAGACAGAAATTGGTATGGACAGAAAGGAATGTGAAATACAAGAAATGGTAAATATGTGGGTAAATATAAAATTTTTTCCTTTTAATGTTTAAAAGTCAATGGACTGTTTCAGGCAACAGCAACAACACTGTGCTCCTAGGTTTACAACATGAGAAATAAAATGCCTGATAACAACAGCACAAAGAACAAGAGGCATGTAAATGGCATGACGTCACTGGGGAGGCTTCTGCCTATTCTGGAAGTGGCTTTAATATTGATCGAAGGTAGACAATGACATGTGAAGGACATGAACTGTAAATCCCGACCAGCCACTAGAAATGCAATGTAAGGGACGGTAGAGTGCATGCCAGGTTGTGACTCTTCCGGGGACCACCCTTGCCCTGCTCCCCCCAGCCCGGCCACCCAGGATGGCCTCTCTCTTCCTGGAATCCAGCCTGGCACTGCCAGGACGCGGGGCCCTGCTCCAGCACTCCTGCCCATCCAGCACTCCTTGGCCATTCTGGAAGGAACCACCTCCATTCCCCGTGCCAGCTCAGGGCATGGCCCACCAGAGGGGCTTTGTTAAGTGTTTGCTAAACACCTGGCCCAGGGTGATCTTTCCACTCCCACTCAGGGTACGGCTCCTTCCCCCCACCCACAGTGTGCTCCAGCTGTCCAGCAGCACCCCAGCCATACTGGCCTTCTAGTCCCCCATTCCCCGCACCATGTGGACGGCTCAGGGGGGAGACCACGGAATCACACAAGTCGGCAGATGCTCCGCAGCCCCTCACCTGGATAAATCATTGAGCGAGAGGGGGCTGGAGGCCAGCCACAAAGGTTGTTGTGGCCTTTTTGGATTAAAAGTCCCTAGACTGCTAATTACCCAAGAAGCCCTGGAGGCTAGGTCCTCCGGGAGCAACAAAGGCCAGATGGATTACTGTGTGGTTTCAAGTAGCCTCCCAGCTGTGGCCCTGAGTGATTCACCTCCGTTCATTAGAGGAGCCGCCAGGTGAAGGGCCCAAAGGTCTAGGGTTTGATGCACCACCATGACTGACACACAAGAGCCAGGGGGCCAAGCTCCTGCCTGGGGCCCGGCCGGCAGAGCCCTCAACAGCTGCTCTCGTGTCTTCCGCTGTTTCCAGATGTCCCGCAGACAAGGATGCTTCAGCACCGACACGGGGAGGCCAGCAGCACGAGCCCTAACCCGCAGATGAGATGCCAATACCTGACCAATTAGGCCCCCAGGTGCCCCCTCCAGTCAAGGACCTTGCTAGGGAAGAACCTCCTGGAAGAAGCCATAGCCAGATTGGAACCCTGCCCCCGGTAGCTACTCACCATGACTTTGGGCAAGTCACCTGGCCTGAGGGACAGCCTGCTCGCTGTGGCACTGGGTCACTGACACACCACAGGGTGGCAGGGTTTAAACACGACAGTGGGTATACTCTGTCATCAAGAGCAACAGGGCTGGAGGCACCAAGGGGTACTCTCTGTGGGCCATCAGCCTCTCACCACCTCGGGCCTTGCCGAAGCTGTGTGTCCCCACTGGACCCAGGGCCACGAGGACGGTGTGCCAGGTCGTGCCAAACAACCATGGAAACCGTTTCAGGAGTTAGAGCCTGGTGACAAGAAGTCAACCAGGAGCTGGGAGACCCACCATTCACTGGACTTAAATATGTTTCTCATGAGCTGCCTCTCCCTGACCACAAAGCCCATGAGAAACCCGCCAGGGAGGTGCCGGCCCACTCTGAGCTCTCAGCCTCTCTGGGCTGGGCTGTCCCCCTGACACAGGGTCCTCCTGCAGGGGCCCTGGGTCAGTTTGCTGTGATAGCTGTGCCCCTGCGTGGTGGCCCTCAGTGGGCAGAGGAAAAGAGAAGCACAGTGTCACCTTCCAATCCCCTTTGAGGGGGTGACAGGTCTAACAGGGAGAGGTAAGTGGGGGTCACCTCAGAGGTGGGAGTGGACCCCTGCTGGCCAGGGGCACAGAGCAGGTAGAGGAGGGCAGACAGGCTAGAGGCCACTCCCCTGTCCATGCCCCCAGGACCCTCCCTGGGGGACTCTTCATCACTCCCATCCCGTACACTCCAGCCACACAATCCTGTGGACATGGGTGTGCTGTGATGCCACATGAGTATAACGCTAGATGCGACAGTGACCTCTGGGCAGGGACACGGTGCCGGTGGCCATTAAGAAGGGGTACCTGCAACCAAGAAGTCAGGTCCGGGTGACATGGCCTAGCGGGCCACTTCTGCTGCCCAGAGTAGCAGGCAGGGAGTCTCTGAGGCAGGGCACGTCCTCCTGCAGCGCAGCACCCAGCCTGGCAGGACCCTTGGCCACCCGCCTTGAGACAGGCATAACCCGGGGGCACCCAGGACAGCTGAGATCATCCAACACCCACCCCTGATCCCAGCCAAGATGCGTGTTTTTCAGGGCAAAGCATCCGCCTCAAGACTTTGTGGGGCCACTCATTTCCCCAAGGGCCAGCCCACCCACTCCAAGACGAGCAGCTCCAGGGCTGGCGATAGGGACAGGAGCACAGCCTGCAGGACCAGGCTGCTGTGGCCGCCATAGTAGCTCTCCCTCAGTTGGAAAGTGAAGTGGACACATGCGGGCTACCAGAGCCTGGCCACCAGCAGCTGTGCGCCCTCAAAGGCCAGTCCCAGGGCTCCCACTTCACCCCTTAGAAGGGGCTCCCCTTTCGAGAGGAGGGAAGGGGAGGTTGCCCCAGGTCTGAGCCCAAGGCAGAGAGGCCAGGGCTTGTCTTGCGGGGAATCGTCCCAGAGGCGTCAGGCAGCAAGTGCACAGGAGACCTCCACTCACCAGTGTCACGCCGATGAAGACCCCTGGTGGCCATAGCTGAGGTCAGAGGCAGGGAAGCCGCAGCCCCAGCATGGGCTAACCCAGCTCACAGCCACCATGGGAAGCCCGGGACTTTCTCCTTCTGCTCAGCCAGCCACAATTGCCCACACCAAGCATCCCCCACAAACGTGGCCAGAGGGGCCTCTGCTCCAGGCCCCCCACCTCGTGGCTCAGAGCAGCTCCGTGTGCACCGGTTATGCCAATTGTAGCCCAAGGGGCACCGCAGCGGCCACTGGCACCAGCAGGACTTTCTGCTGGGAGCCTCCTGCAGGGAAGAGACTGGGGGTGGGGAGGAACACGCCCACCACACGTGGCGAGGGAGGCAGGCACAGCCGCAGGCCCCACCTGGCTGTGGCTGGCCAGGCACCCCTGTGCTGCACCAAGCAGAGGCGCCTCTCGGGGAAAGGGAGGAGCTCATTCTCATGGTCGCGAGCGAAGTGAGAATACCCACACCGCGGAATACCGCACTGCGGAAGTCACCAGGGCACGCTGTGCAGAAAATGAAGGGCAGGACAATGCACATCGACGTGACCTTTTATATAAAACTGAAAAAATAATTTCAAACAGAAACACATGGGGGATTTTTTTTCTCCAGAACCAAAAGATCCGCTGACAGCACTTCTGGGGAGAAGGTCTAGTAGAGAGGGACGGCAAGGGGGTTTTCGCTTTCTGTGATCTTTAGATTTTCTGGCCTTGTTGGGTATCACTTAGGATTTTCTTTCCCATCACCTAGCGTGACCTGGCTAAAGACATGACGGTTGTTTTGTTCTCTGTAACTACAAATAACCTGCACGTGTAAGCATTACAGCCTTGACAAAACCTGCGTGTAGTGATAAGCACCCGGAGTGGCTAGGCTGCCTGTACAGCCTGGAGTGGGTGGGACTGGCTGTGCTCCTGGGGTGAGCCCGCTCTCAGCCACGAGTCCAGCGAGCCCGAGCCAAGCTCCCGAGAGGGGCCGGATGGTCCAGGCACTTCCTCACCTTTGAGACAATGAAATGCTCCAAGTGCTTCTGTGCTCTTTCTGGAATAAAGATGCTAAACACAGGTGTGACCTCATTTATAACACAGCGCCAGCACTGACTCAGGGGCGGATGCAGGAGGGACACCAGCTTCTGCAGCGTCTGGTGTGCGTGTAACTAACAGGCAACATTACAGGGGAATCCAGAGGAAGTCACCCCCAACTGCAAAGTCCGCAGTCCCCAAGGGAGCCAGGGTGTGCCCCTCGCACGCAGCTCACAGAACTGGCTTCTTCCTCTTGGGGGTCCGGGGCGGCCGCAGCTCTGCTGGCCCGTGGGCAAACGGGCAGCTGTCCGAAGGCAGAACACAGCCATCGGGGTGGTGACTGTAGAACCAGCACACGCGGGTCTTGAAAGCTTCTGAGCAGAGTCTCCGCTTTGCTTCCGAGTGAGGCTGCCTCTGTAGCTTCTCTTCTCTCCAGTCGCGAATGTGAACTCTCCCGTTCACAACTGTGTTTGGAACAAAGAGAAGACATGGCCCAGTCATTCTCCTCCAAGTGCACCAACTCACCAAGGCCTGGGGCTGCAGGCCCCCGACACCAGCCGTCCACGCCTGAAGGGTGAGCACCCGTGGAGGCCAAACCTGGAGCCTTGGCCTGGCGGGGCGGACAGGGGGGTGGGAGGGAGGGCCTGAGGGAGCAGGCAAGGAGCAGGCTGGGGGAGGCTGGGGGAGCCTGGAAGGGCCAGTGCCAGGGGTCTGGGGCCTTCAGGAGGCACACGCTGGACACCTGGGGCTGGGGCAATGAGCCGCAGGGAAGCTGAGGGGACGCTGCTGACAAGATCCGGGCTGCAACCATACACAAGTGCCTGGGGCTGCACCAGGACGGGCCTATAGGCAGTGACCAAGGGCCTGGGAGACCACGGTGTAAGAGCCACATGTGGTCCCAGGCTCAGGTGCAGCTTGGGAAGCAGCAGTGGCGTCTATCATGGAGAGCCTCACCTCCGCATCAAAGAGAGAACAAGCAAAGCTCCCTTCCAGGCAGGCGAAGAGGAGGGTTTACCTGTGCCCAGCAAAGTCAGAGCCCCCAAACGCAAACAGTGTGGGGAGGGGTATAGCAGCCCCACTGGCAGGGTGGGGATTGCCACAGGACACGGGGACTGGGGAGTGGTACAGCCCCAGTGGCTGCCCGGGCCCCCCACCGGGCTGCCTCCTGAGCCAGCCACCCCCATTAAGGCCCAGACTCCACCCAGGCGTTCACCTGGCCATCTGACCCCCAGAAGCCAGCAACTCCACCAAAACATGGCCAAAGCAGCCACATCCATCCTGGTTTTCCCTGGAAGCTGTAAGGCCACCCGGAGACAGACACACTCAGGGAGAAAGAAAGGAAGCTTAGTGAATAAATCTGGCTCTCCAGCTTCTAATGAGAACTTGAAAGCACAAATTAAAGACTGGAGTTTGCTTTCAAACAGCCTCGTGTTGTGGCAATAATGAGAGTGTCTCTGTGGACTGCCATTTATTAAACATTTTCCGTTAAGGCAAGGAAAGGAGCCGCAGAGAGGCGCCTCACAGACGGAGGGCCACATGGACAGCTGGCTCCCCCTCAGAGCTGGCCTCCTGCACTGCTCCCCACAAGGCCAATGCCCAGCTTCCTTAGTGTGAGAGCTCAGGTCAAGGGAATATCACTAGGTTCCACTTGATGTCCCTGCAGAAGGACATGGCCCTGAAGTGCGTCCCCAAGGAGCCCCGAGGTGAGACTCCCACCAGGCGCCTTTGGTGTGTGCCCAAAAATGCAAGGAGCCCTCGGCCTGGTCCAAAGCCTCCACAGGGGTCCCCAACCGAGGAGAGGCTGGCCTGCAGCAGGCTGTCACAGTGGTCTCATGAGTTAAATGGGCACCTCATCACGTTTCTGGAGCAACACCTGCAGGGCCAGGGGACAGGGGGCCCGGGCACCAATGACAGAGGACCGGCCCTGGCAGAGATGGGGTTTCCCAAGCTCTCCCACGACACGCTCCCATGCACCCCCAGGTCCCAGGGAAGCTCCCTGCCGTGCCCCTCCTGACACCCCCAGCTCCCATCCTGGGGAGGCCTGGGCCAGGCACCTGCACCCACTCCAGCTGGCTCACAGGTCAGAGCACCAGCGGGCCTTCCCAACCGCTGTGGGAAATATGCTCCCGATCCTACGGTGGAATCACAGGATTCTCCTCCCAAAGTACTTTCCCTCCCACAATCACTACGGGCAATTTACCAGAACAGTGCTCCATGCTCAGGTTCTGATCAGACATGACCTGGGTTGCCAGGCCAGCAATCTCTAACCAGGAGAGACTTTGAGCAAGTTCCCACGTGAGAGGCAGCCACAGGTTCATCACGGCCAGCAAAGAATGACGGCACCTCGGGCACAGACCACTCGGCCATGGCCCCGCCAAGCCCCTGCCCCCAGCATGCACGCACCCGGGCACTGGCCCATCCCTCACAAGGTGCTCGGCTCCTGCAGAACTGAGGGCATCCAAAATCGCTCCAAACTCCTTGGCCCTGTAAACACGACCAGAAACTAGAGGCTCTTGTTTCAAACACCCTGGGAGATAAGAGCATACTCCGTGCATAGTTTTTGCGTGACCGTGAGCAGAATGTTTACTCAGTGCTCAGGCCCTGAGCTGCCTACTCAGAAGTGTTTCCAAAAATAAATGTGCCCCCCCCACCCCCGCCATGTGAACTGCATAGGAAAGCAGTCACATACATGCATATTTATAGTGGGGGGAAAAAAGCTACGATTTCACGAAGTCAAATAGAAAGCCACGCTGGGAAAACAGAAGGGCAGCCCTTCTGGGTTGCAGCGGGTGTTTTCACGGACAAAGACCATGTGAGACAGAGAGCAAAGCCCAGGTAGCCATGCCAGAGCTGGAATGCAGCAGGAACTGCAGGTTCAGGAAGACCGTCCCCCGGGCCTGCCGGCCCACACCCCAGCCTCTGCAGCCGCTCAAAACATGGAGACTCCAATTCAGCTTACAGGGCTCCATGCCATCACAGGCACTGCCCCGAGAAAATCAGGTTTAAATGAAAACAAAGTCTATCTCCACCAACGGCACCCGGGCCACCCAAAGGCACTGTAAGTCTGCGCACCTGAGCTCTCCCATGCACGCGTGGAGGGAGCCATGTGTATCCAAGCTCTGCTGTCCACATGTGGGGGGTCGCATACTCCTGAGATCTCCTGTGCACGCATGGGGGGGGGGCCACACACACCAGAGCTCTCCCATGCATGCGTGGGGGGGTTGTGCGCACCAAAGCTCTCCTGTGCATGTGTGTGGGGGGGGGCTGTGCATACCTGAGCTCTCCCTTGCACGTGTGGGGGGCTGCACACAGCCAAGCTCTCCCATGCCCACATGGGGAGGGTCATGAGCACCCGAGATCTCCCGTGTGCGCGGGAGCCACGCATACCCAGGTTCTCCCATGCATAAGTTGGGGGCCATGTGCATCTGAGCTCTCCCGTGCACATATGCGGGCCTTGCTCACCTGAGCTCTCCTGTGCACTTGTGGGAGCCATGCACACCTGAGTTCTCATGTGTCACGTGCACACACTGGCAGGGAAGATAAGGTGACAGCGCCCAACTCCCTTAGCTTTACAGGCTAGGAGTGGACAGATGCGCTTCATCAGCCATGGCCACTTGCCCCAAGTCACTGCCCAACCACTCTTCTCAGCAGCAGCACAAGGGTGGGGGTGTGGGGACTGACCCAAAGGAGCTTGGCTCAGCAGCTGCAGGGTGGCCCCAGGAGCACAGGAGCAGCCCCTGCCGGCCGGGTCTTCTCCGGACTCCACGTTCTCAGCACATCTTGAGGCACCATCACCCAGAATCCACCAACCTGTACGCCCTGCACCCACCTCCCAGAAAGAAGAGGTACTCAGCACCAGCCCACAGCTGGCCTTCCTGGGCCACCTCCCAGCGGAAACAGAATCAAGTGTGCTTCCCCAGATGCAGTCTGAAGGATCCAGATGCTGTGCTGTGGGGGGACTTGTACCGGGCCCTGCCCTTGACCCTTGAGGCCCCCGATGTGGCAGAGAGTGGGTGCACAAATGGTGACCCCACAGCTGGCCTAGAGCTGGTCACAAAGGTATCACTATTCCCCTGCCGTCACGGAGGCCCAAGCCCTCCCTGCAGCCACAGGAGGCTGCAGGCCACACCCTCTCATTGTGCCCCAATTCCGCTTCTTCCCAGCACAGACCTTTAACAAAGGCTGTTCCTCATCCTCTTTACCAAGTCCTGGCCCAGAGGTCATGTCCCCAGCACCGACCTCCCGCCCCCCATGGTAGGCCTCCCTGCACATCACAACTCCAGTGGACACGTGCCTATGGCGCAACGGTGATACCAGACACCAGGATCTCTAAAGCCCCTCACTGATGTACTCAGGGGTGATCATGGGCAGGCTGGGATTCACACTAAAACACTTCCACAAAGAAAAGGGGGAGAGGAGCTCCAAGAAGGAAACAGGACAAATGGCTGATCGCGCTCTAAGTAAGGGAACTTCCTTCTACCCCTGGTCCCCATGTGAGTATCTGTTCTGCATCCCCCTCCCCACCAGCCTGGACACTCCAGGAGGCCAAGAGCAGACTGAGTGAAAGGGCACAGGTTCCTGGGCCTCTCTATACCACCTGGCTGTCCTGGAAGCCTGGAACATGGGGCAGGAGGGGATTGAGAGCCTTGCTCCCAAAGGCCCGGTGCAGACACACAGGGCAGGGCCGTGACGGGCATCGGGGCTCCCTCCTCTAACTGCTGGGAACTCGGGATGCTTCCAGAATTCAGGTAGCCGAGGGCCAATGCAAGTAACAACCCCCCCACCCAGAAAGTCCTTCAGGGACACCCGGCCGGGAGGCTTTCAGACTTGCTCTTCCTTCCATGTGAGGCGTGAGCACATCCCGGACAGGGTTAAGGCCAGACGTGGCCAGGGGTGCCATGCCTGTGGGGGCTGGACTGGAGAAAATCAGACAAGAGGCATGGCCAACATCCCTTCCTGGTGGAAGGCGCTCAGAGCGCAGAAGCTAGGCATGGGCAGGGGGACTCTATCCTCTCTCTCTCCCACTTTCCTAGGTACCTAAATCTCCTCTAAAGCAAACTTTACTCATGGGCGCCTGGGTGCTCAGTTGGTTGAGCTTCTGACTCTTGGTTTCAGCTCAGGTCATGATCTCAGGGTCCTGGGATCGAGCCCCACATCAGGCTCCGCACTCAGTTCTCTCCCTCTGCCCTTCCCCTCAGATCACTTGTATGCACACACTCTAAAATAGATCAATCTTTTAAAAAATTTAAGGGAAAAATAAAGCAAACTTCACTTAATAGAAAAAGCAGGGACAGGGATGGCAGAATCTGTGGGGAAGAACCTTCTGATTCAGGAAAGCTAGGCGTGTCCTCCACATCTGAGGAATGAGTGTGTTTCCGGGCTTGATCCCTTACCTTCAAACACCTGATGGTTGTTTCTGAGCAGCGTCTGCAGGCCTCCACACTCCCGCTTCAACCTCTGCAGCGTCTCCCCGGCCAGCTCACGGGCCACTTCTGCCAAGGAGAGGCTTCCTGCGGAAACCGGGTTTCCCCAACAACATAAAGGCCGATGGAGACCTTAAACAGGCACGATGCCTATTGCCCGGGGACAGTGCCAGCTCCGTCTGTCCCAGCCCCTCACACATGTCAGGAGGAGGGGCCATGAGATTGACTGTGGCTCTGAGGCCACACCACATGGAGTGGGAACGACATGGCTGAGCCACCACCCCCCGGGGATGCCAGGGACGTCCCACCTGCCAGGCCCTGTACCTGGGCTCTCGCCTCCGCCCACCGGACGACTGTGCAGGCCAGCAGAGACAGCCCTTCCTTCCAGACATGGAAAATCAGTGCCGCTGTACAGCCCGGCCCCAGACGCCCAGGGGAGCAGCCGTGCCTTGCCTGGGATTCCAGCTACCAGAGCCAGCCCGCCTTCACGATGCACCTCTCAGCCACCTCAAACCCGTTCCGAGAGCAAGCGGGCTGTCTAAGGAGAAGGCTGGAACCCTCGCAGATGGCCTCCCCCGCCCCTCCTGGGTCCGGCCCCGCTCCAGCTGCCGGCGGTGGTGCTCACACACACAGCTGCACACGGCCTCCCCCTGGTTGCTCATTCTGGGCCGTGTGTGTGTCCTGACCCAGCTGTGAGGGCAGGGACCACCTACTCCGACCCTGTGCCCCCTGCAGAGATCACTCAGGGCCTGGAGACAGACCTGTGCCTACGTCACACAGGGGCAGGCTGTGGAGGGGTCACTAAACTCCAGCAGCCAGAAGGTGGGAAGACCACCCGAGGGCAGGAACCTGTGGGCTGAGAGGCCAAGGGCACAGGTCCACCCCACCGGAGCACCTCAGGCCAGCCCCAGACACCGAGACCCATGTGGCACAATGGCCCCCCAGCTCTGCAGGGGTTTCCACCGGGCAGGCAGGCCTGAGACCCGACACCTGACGATCAACTATCTATGTTGGACCCAAGAAGACCCAGGTGGTTACCGCTGGGAAAGTGCTGTCCCAGGCACAGGCATGGACCTCCTGAACTCAATCACTCCTGGGTCTGAAGGTCGAACTCCCCATTTTCAGATTCACACAAACGTCTCTGAGGCACCTGCCTGCCTACTGCAGGGACTCCGGGCCCCTCGAGGCCCCACTGGAAGCCCCCCACCCAGCTTGCCTTCCTCTTTACTCGGGCCCCACCTCAGCAGGGCACAGCAGGAAGTGGGGCACCAACCCACGGAGCAGGCCATAGCACCCAGTTACACGGGCGGTCAGCCACCTGCAGCAGGGGCTCTGGCAGATGCCGCCAGCACATCCCTAGAGAGGCCCTTCGGTCAGACACCACCAGGGTCAGTGATCCACAGGGAAGGGGAGCTGCTCCACAGCCCTGCCCCGTGGCACGTACACCAGAGCCATGGAGGCTCTGGGCAGGACGACGTCACTGGTGGGGGAGAACAGGCTCGCCGCCTGCTCCTGGGCCCCCACTCACAGGCAGCCAGGCAGCAGCCCCAGACAGGCTGAGGTAGGGCTCCCCCGGGCCCTCCAATGACTCCCAAAACTCAGAGGCAAGTCTCAGGCGCTGCCCAGCCCAGCCAGCTCCACAGCGCCCTCTGGTGCCGCCGCGCAGGAAAGAAACCAGCTTGGACGGGGCAGCCGCCTAGGACTGGAAACACTCACTTTACAAAACTAACGGAAGCCCACACTTGGATCCCTATCTCTCCTGAACGCCACTGATTTCAGCACGTTACTCATCCTATGAGGACAATCAGATATAACTGTCTCCCTTTCACCATGTCTGAGTTTTGCACTTGGGGGATTTCAAAGAGAACCAGGTTATCCGACTACGTCTCCCAAGTGTTACCCTATTGTCAAGGCGACAGTGTGCTTTCCTGGCATTCAGGACTGTTTTCCGTTTGGATGACCCCTATAAACTGAAAATAAAGAGCTCCACCCCATGAAGCCTGGACAATTCTGTGAAGGTGAACTAAGGGTCTGAACACCATCCCTCTGCCCTCAGTGCCTTCCTCTGAGGGAATGGAGTCCTGCACATTAATGGGAACTGCAGGGAAACCTTTAAACAATGAGAGTGTCAGTGGCCTGTTCATCCTCGATGTCTCTTTAAAATACACGTAATTAAAAACAACCACACAATTTCAAGTTGGTCCTAAAGGAGAGCTGAGCCACCACCTGAAAGCCAGCAGGCATGTGGCTGCCAGGGGCCTACCTCCTCGGTTCCAAGCCTTCGAGCTGCCGCTGGAAGCGCTTCCTGTGTTTAACTGCTCTCCATCCAACAGCAAATGTGCCACTTGCAAAACCACTTGGTCAATAAAATCTCGAGGAAGGGTGGCACAATTCCTCACGCGCTCAGCTTTCTCTCTGGGCTGAAATCCAGACAGCCAGAGTTGGTCGGCCCGGATCTCTGCCCCTCCTGTGGCAGCCCCGGTGTCCAAGGCCTGGTGCCTGTCGGGGTGACCTGCGTGTCCCACCGTGGCCCGGGGTGGAGGAGGGACAGACGCCTCGCCAGGTGGGCTCACGGGGCGGCCCCGCCTGCTGTTAATGTACTGGGTTCTCTGCTCATCCATGGCAACTTCCCCAGCAGGTGGGTACGTTCTGGATTTCCCAATGAGACAAACCTGCGTGTGAAAAACAGCAGGGTATATCACCAGGCTCCTAGAGCATGGCCTGGTTTCCACTCAACTCTCTTGTTCTGCAGCACAAATTAAAAGCTTTAGACATTTATCATGAAAGAAATGCTTACTTTAGGAACCAGTATCAATAAAAACGTCCAGAATAATCCAAGAGCAAAAGCCCAAGAAGAATCTCAAGGCTCAGACGTTGAGGGCCCTAACACACATGTAACAACAAAGCCCCCCACTGAGCTTATGGCCGTGCCCGCTATGAACACTTCACTTGTGGGCTCCTTCGTGTGACCCCAAGCATGGACGCTACTGGGAAGCCAGACCTCTCCAACTACGATGTCCTTTTGGATACCTGGTCCAATGAGGGGGGCACGTGGCCCCTGCAGAGTACCTGGGGCAGCACGAATGCTCTCTTCAAGCTTTCTCCTCTATACAGCCCAGAGGAAGGCAGCCGCACAAGCCTCCCCAGGGTGAGCGAGGCTGGTCTGGCGCCGCCGCCCTGGGTACAGCATCTCTCAACGTCCTCCCCGAGCGAGAGCTACAAAACCAGCTTACAGGCAATGAAAGCAAGCATCAGAGCCACCCCTCACTACACTCCAGCTCTGCCACCTGCTCCCTATGTGATCCTGGACAGGTGACATGATGTTGCTGTGTGGGGACAAATGTGCCAGGTGCCCCCATTGAACAGCACGATGTGTACACACCTGCTCTCGCATCTGCCCCCCAGTCCACCAGGTTACAAGCAAGCCGAGGCTCAGAGAGATGCAGGGTACGTGCCCTCCAGCAAGACAATGGAAAGACTAGTGCAAAAACCCAAACTGTGGGACCCTTGTATGCACAGGACCCAAATCTCAGCGGTTCCCGGGGGGACTTGCTGACATGAGGGCACTTATGAGAATGACACCGTGGCTCGAAAGCACAGTCCCAAAGAAAGCTTTCAGAGTGATCTGAGTGGTGGCTGCACAGGCAGCAATGATGTACCCGAGGCCCCGGGGACCCCACTCACCGCCACCACTGGGTGCCCACAATGAAGGCGCTGTGTTATCGCCTCCCCTCCGGAAACACGGGGACACAGGTATGGTTTGCAATGTGTGCAACAGTTCGCGGCGAGCAGGGGGAAGAGCCAAGAGCTCACCTCATATCTGTCTTGGGTCCTTCTCAGCATATCAAGCAATTAAGCAATCAAGCTTCTAATTTGGATATGATGGGTTTCAGTGTTTTGCTGGTCAAAAAAGCACACTGACAGCCATGGAGTCTGACAAAAGGAAGCTACCAGAGATTATCACAAATCGGTAGTTCAGAGGGTGAGCGGGAAGGCTACCTAGTCCACTCTGACCCCTCCGGCAGGGAGGTCACACTTGCTGTTTTCACAGACTGGGCAAGGGCCAAAGTTTGTCTGGGCAAACTACCTTTCAGGCAAATCTGAATTAATGGAGCATGTCATGAGAAAATGGGACTCATTTGGAACTTCTGAACCAGACTTCAATTTGGGCCAATCACTGGGGAACCCGAGGAGTCGGAACTCAGAGCGGGCAGCCCCAGACAATGCTCGGGCCACCACTACACAAGTCAGGCTGACGCCTACTCTGGGCAGGTACCCGAGGGCCACGTGCAATTTCTGGGAAGGAAATGAAGACTTGGCGAGCGTCCTGCAAAGCCACCACAGGAGGGGCTGTGGGTGCAGAACGAGCCCTCCGAAGGCCACCGGTGGTTGAGACACTGAGATCAACACAGGCAGCTTCTGGAACGCCCCAGTGTTGAACGCCAGCAGCCCTTTTGGTTCTGTGATGCAACCCTCAGCCCCCCATCCAGATGCCAGCACCCCACCGAGGACAGCGAGCCCATGGTGACCAGAACGCACCCTTTTGGTTGACGGAATGCGCAGGCAGTCCTCCTCGACGTGAAACCCGCAGGTCAGCCCCACTTCTGTGATGAAATCAAGGTACTCTCGGTACTGAGTCTTCCTGCTCTGCCTCCGGGAGTACTTCCCGGTGAAGTCAAAGAAGCAGCAGGGAAGGACAAAGAAACGGCAGCCATAGGAGGACCTTCAAAATCAATCCACCAAAACCGAAAGAAAATTCAGCAGGAGAGCCACGTGGCTATCATGCCTTGGGATAAGACATGTGCTGGCGGCTGCTCGTGTTTTCTGATGAGAACATGAATAACAGCTCTCCCTAATTCAGTTTCTAGAAACAGTGCAGCATGCCATACTTTCTTCATAAAACATGAATCTAATTACTTTCATAAAAACCTGCTCCCTCGCGGCTGTTCTCCTCAACTGCAACATAAGACTTCCAGAAGCACATGAGGCTTCAGCCAGGAGGGCAGGAGCTCAGAGGCAGGCACGGCAAAGACTAAGACGTGCTCCTTGACCTACATTACCCTTGGAGAGCCAGGGCAGTTCCAAAGACCCTGGATGGCAGACCATAGCCACAGAACATTCGGGGCGACATCTCCTCCTGAGCCAGAAGGGCCGCCGCCCCGCGTGCAGCCCCTGGGCTGAGAGAAATATTGTTCCAAGGGTCACCTTGTCCACAGACTTTTCCTTTGAAGACCGACCCTCGCTGTCAGAAAACAACTTCCAAGAAAACACGACCTGTCTCCACACCAGCTATAAACACCGCCGAAGTCCTTAGTTTTCATCAGTGTTGTTGAGCAGAATGCCTTGAACCACATTTGGGAGCTGATCTTCTCCAGCCAGGCAGAATTCAGCCCTGGCCTGATACGCTCAACACATCATCCTTCCGACAATCTGAGCCAGCTCCATTTCCAGCGTCCAACAGCCACTAGTGGCCAGATGCAGACAGAGAGGGCACCCAAACCTCCCCCACCATCCACCCTGCCGCCAGGGCCACCTGCTCACCGGGCCGCAATGACGGGCACCCACGGCGTCAGTTCATCGGAATGGTTACCAATCAACCAATCGACGTCAGGGAAAAGGGTCTTATCACTTGGGGTGATTGCACCTTCCTGAGAGAAAAACACAAAACAAGACCGCGTGTTTAGTAAAGCAGCACAGAGCTCCCGAAGCAAGGCCCCGAGGAACCCCGGCTCGCTGGGCGAGGTCTCAGCCCCACCCCGGGGCCTCAGGGACACCGGGTGGGCCCCTGAACATAGGGCTGCATCTGCCCCAGAGGGCGTGAAACCCAGCAGCTTCCAGCGTCATTGCTAGAGAAACCAACCATGCCCTCTAAGTGCTCATCTCTTTCTGATCCGTACAAATGTGCTTCTGCTCATCAACATACAACATACAAGGAGCTGCAGGAGGTGGGACAAAGGAAAACGTTTCCACACTCCAGAACATCGGAGCCATAGAGGGCTTTAGGAGCAAGTGAGCAGAAAGCAAGCAGGTCTGAAGTTGATCTAAGTGTGTAACGTAATGCATCACACAACCTCACGCCTGCCGATCAACGACACGAAGCACGCCCACGGCAGCACAGGTAAGAGACCAGGGCAGCTCACACGGAGCAGAAGCCTCTGCTATCATGTGATTTTTTTTTTTTTAAAGATTTTATTTATTTATTTGACAGAGAAAGACACAGCGAGAGAGGGAACACAAGCAGGGGGAGTGGAAGAAGTAAGCTTCCCATGGAGCAGAGAGCCCGATGTGGGGCTCGATCCCAGGACCCTGGGATCATGACCCGAGCTGAAGGTAGAGGCTTTAACCCACTGAGCCAGCCAGGCGCCCCCATGCGAGGTTTTGTAAACACTCAGACACCAAGTAAAAACCCACTCCACAGGCAGGTTAACCATTCTGATAATTCCTATCATTAAGCTGAAAGCAGCTTGATTTTATGACTTAATAATGGTCATTATGAGTGACTGAAGTCAGGTCCCAACAGTGGGTCTGTCGGTAAAAACCGGAAAGATAGGGGCGCCTGGGTGGCTCAGTGGATTAAAGCCGCTGCCTTCGGCTCAGGTCATGATCTCAGGGTCCTAGGGATCGAGCCCCGCATCGGGCTCTCTGCTCGGCAGGGAGCTTGCTTCCTCCTCCTCTCTCTCTCTGCCTACTTGTGATCTCTATCTGTCAAATAAAATAAAATCTTAAAAAAAAAAAAAAAAAAAAAAAAAAAAAAACCGGAAAGATAGAGAGAAAGGACATTATCCAACCACTCAAAACCCTAATCTTGAAGCCCCAAGGGAAGTAAGTGCAGCTGCCATTCCTTCGTCAAAACAAAGACGACACCAGGACAACCCCAATTTCAAGGCCACTCCGTAGGACAACAAAAACCATGGGTCTTGTGCAGACGTGATGTAAACGAAAGTAGAATTTAAACTCCACAATCTTTCTGATTCTTAAATAAGCATCTGGGCTTCTACTTACACACATACTAAAACACCGAAAACAGTACCAGTCAACAAGCATATGCGTAATTTAAAAGCAGGAAAAACAAACCTTTGATGTTATTCTCTATTTCCACCCCGTCTAGATTTAAAGTTGCTTATTTCCCTTTAAACGGCCTGCATGAATTAAAACACAATTTACAGCTGCTGTTATTTAAGACAGGTGGTTTTGCTTACAATCAAACGAGGACTTGGAAAGAAGCTGGAAGCTCATGCTCGGCTTTTGACCATGCAGATAAAGACAACCAGCCCACAGAAGCAGCCGTGAACTCCCTTCCATGAATCTTTTTTATTTCTTGTGATATTCTCAACTTTAAAGAAAGTGAGGCAGAAGGTATAAAAAGAGTCTCAGAGTCTAACTACTTACAGATGAAGTGGCAGAGCTGAGATTTGTTTCCCAAGAGCAGCGGGCAGAGTGGGGGCTACAAGAGTGGCTGTGACGCCCGTAAGCTTCTGGGACAACCACGCGCCTTGTGACGTCCGTGTGCTCTTACACTGTCCACAGCAAAAAGTGAACACGAGACGTCCCGTCAGCACTCTGCCACCGGGGAGGACAATCTGCATCCTAGTCACACCCTGCGTATAACTCCAGGACCAAGGTCCTGAGGCCACAGGGGCGGCAGAGCCCCGTTGGGTGGCAGGAGGAGCTGAGTGTGCAGACCCTTGCTGCTGAGCCCTCCGCTGGCCGGTTTGGAGGCCTTGACTGAACCCCAACTCCATAAACACTGAACACCAGACCTGACGTGGGACTGCTGCTCAGGGATCCGGTCACTTCCTCCCTTGGGGAGACACTCCTCTCTGACTCATACCAGGACAAGTGAGCTACTCCTGAGCAAGGTTGCGGGGACCTGGGTTCACTGTGGCCTGAGGGTCATGGGCTCTGGAGGTCAGACCACTAAATGGCCCATAGGAAATGTGCGTGGCCCAGCTCTGCAGCTCCATGGGGCGTCCGCACACCTGTGGCCCTGCCCCAGCCCAGCTGCATTTTACCTTCCTCTCCTGGGCTCCTCGGCACTGCCCTCTTGCTGGGAGGCCCTGCCGGCCACCCCCACACACAGCACAACCCAGACCCACGGCAGCCCCCTCACCCCCTCAGCGTGTACACCTGCCACCCCCAACCCGCTCTGTATGGGTGGGTGCTCCCTGCCCCCCAAAGGGGGCAGCAGCCTCCCATCACTGTCGAAGTACCAGCACCTGAGAATGCCTGGCGGTTGAGCTCACTCAAGTATTTGGTAAACACGCAAACCTCTACTTTTTCTCCTGTTTTTTTTTTTTTGGATGCATCTCTTATAGCGTTCCAAACTCTCCTTGAAAGTGTATTTGAGGAAAAACCTTTCTGAAAAGCATTATGACAATATCATCCAAAACTTCTCAAGTTTAGCCTATGACAGATTTTTTTTTTTTTTTAATTTATTTATTTGACAGACACAGCGAGAGAGGGAACACAAGCAGGGAGAGTGGGAGGGGGAGAAGCAGGCTCTCTGCTGAGCAAGGAGCCCGATGCGGGACTCGATCCCAGGACCCTGGGATCTTGACCTGAGCCGAAGGCAGAGGCTTTAACCCACTGAGCCACCCAGGTGCCCCCGACAGATTTTTTTTTTAAGTGGACTAAGACTGATGCACAAGGATTTACGCAGTGTGACTTGTCATCTGAAAACACCGTTGAGAACAGGAGGTGAGCCAAGAAGCAGGGTGCATGTGTTGGACGGGGGACCAACAGCTGGCACTGCACGAGGACTAGCATGAGGCAGCTGGAAAGGTCAGCGCCGGGCACGCTCGTGAGAACAATTGCCCCAGGGAGCAAGCACACAAGAGCAGACAAATGAACACAGTCAGTACCTCCAAGCAAGTCTGTGGTCCATACATGTCCCAGATTTTTCTTCTCCGTACATCGATCCCTCTGCCTGGGTGCTAGAAGAATTTCAGAACGCAAAGGTCAACGTCAGTACATCATAATAAATGAGCAAGAATGCCTGATGGCACCCGCAGCTTCTCAGCGACTGAGGCAGGTCAGATCCCGAGGGCTGCTGAGGGTCACCAAGAGTCTTCACCAAGGGGAAAGAGAGTCGAGGCATGGAAACGGGTTTGAGGCCAGTGGCCCAGAAGACACACCTGGACACAGAGCTCCCTCTCATGGCCCAGAGTCAGGCCCAGACCCCAGTGCACCCGCCCCTCCAGCTGGCCAGCCAATGAGGCCTGTCCCCCTGCAGCGGCTTCACCCCCAGGATGCATGCCCGTGCCCATGGGCTCCTGAGGGGCACCCATGCTCGTTTCCAAGTTGGGGGGAGAGAAGAGGTGCACAAGGTACCCCGTCCTTACCTACCAGCCTGAAGGTTACCACCCGATGTGCTGACCCGCCCTACCCCAGACAACTTGTTTACAGCTGTTACTGTCACAAACCCATTTTTTAACAAAGCAAATAAAAAGTATTCCAACAACCCCATTTCAAGTCCTACAGCTGTGCACAGAGCGCCTTTCCCACAGGGCAGAATGCCACAGTCAGAAGTCAGTGGGGGTCACGGGGTGACAGTCACCTCCCAGAGTGACTCCGAGGGAAGGCTGGACACCAGCTGGAAGCACAGGACCGGGAAGCTCATGGCTCACACTGAACCACTTGATCTAAGTGACAGACAGGGGCTGTTCTATTGCATCCCGCCTTTACCGCATGGATCTGACACACTCCCGTCGCTGGTGTACACCACAGCGGGAGTGTAACTGGCCTCTGCATGGGGATTCCAGCTTCTGGAGGACAGAACCCACCGCCTCTCCTTCCCCTTCCAATGCCCTGACATGCCTCGTTCCCCAAAGAGCACCCGACGGCCACAACAGCCGTGCTGTGTGAAGTCTGTCATCCCTAGGCACACCCATGTGAGCCCTGTTCCAACCAGCGGGATGGCCATCCTCTCCCCGAGCCACACAGGCCCCCGCTCTCCTCCATCCCAGCCCAACAGCCAGGCAGACTCTGGGTTCAGCTCGCACCAGCAGTGAAAAACATCAAGGACCCTTGTCCTGGTCTGGGAGACACTCGGAAAAGGCATTAAGCGGGCCATGGGAGTGCCCTTACCCCCTCGGTGCTCAGGATATGGACCAGGAGACCGTTCCCGCATCCTAAGTCAACAAAGGACTGCTTGGCCATCAAGCCCCGCTCAGCTCTTTCTTCTTCCCACAAAATCTAAGTTTAAAAAAAAAAAAATCAGTACCTCATTCATTTCCTCCAAGAATAACTCAGACACAAACTCTGCATGAGTTACAAATCGCATTTCCAGGACAGGTGGCCAATCCTTGTCTGTGGCCCTGGGTCTGTGCAGGTGACACACAGGTGAGCAGAGGGGCTGCCCTCGCCCAATGCCACGGGGGTCTCAAGGCCGCCTGTCCCAGCAAGAGTCCACATGGAAGTGGTCCTCTCCAGGCAAGAGCTTCACAGGCTACTGCTGGGTCCTCATGCCTTCTCTCTGTTCTTCTGGGCTGTACACTTTGATAATCAAAGCAAAATGTGCAATTTCTAAAAAGGCTCTGAGAATCATAGATGAAAGGGAATTAGAAATCCTCTGGCCCAAACACGTGCTAGATAGGGGAGTCAAGACAATTCCACCAAGGGCACACCCAAATTCCAGGGCTAGCGAGCTAGCCAAGGACGGACCCAGGAGTGGAGGGCAAGTGCATGTCACAGGGGGCCTGTCAGCGGCTCGAGTGGTGCCATGGGCCCATGGTGAGGGGGCGTTGGAAATGCCCGCCTGAGCTGGAGCCCCTGCGGGTGGCCTTCACAGCACAGGCGTGCCCCTCTCCCACAGTCACACGAGGGCCCCGGCCACCACGCCGGCACACTGGCTTACGGATTTAATGACTGTTGCTCCCCACCGGCGGCGGACAGCATGCTGCCCCCACTGCAGAGGGGCTTAGGCGACTGGACGTGCGCTTACCAGCAGGTATGCAGCGATAGCCACATCTTCATACACAAACTTCTCGGGATCGGTTACTTCGGGCCACACCTAAAACATATTCCAGGGCATATGTAACTGTTTGCTGTCACCCGGCCATTTCACAACACGTGAAGTAGCCGTATCAGCCTAAGTCAAATGAGACTAACCAGGCAGGAAAGTTGGAAAAAAAAAAGTTCATTCCGAAAGCAGACACAGATAAAGCCTCTCTCACAGTAAGAGCACAACATAAAGACACGCCAAATCTTCACCGCACTTGCGCGTCACGGGACACGGCAAGAGCACTGCAGTCCGTGGCAGGACTTCGCAACAGAAATGACGGATGTAGCTGTTTAGATGAGGCCACATTGAGGAGATCGCTCAGCTCTCCTGCTCCATCGTTCTTCTAGATGAGGAAGAGGAACAAGGAACCCCGGACGAGGAAAGCAAAGGGCTCAGGAAGCCGGGCCCAGCTGTCTGGTCTGTGGGCGCCTGGCTGTCATTTGTCAGAGGTAGCCCTCAGCAGGGGGTCCCCATTTCCCTCTCGGGAAAGCTAAAGCCTCCATGGCCACATGGGACAACAAGCAGGTACTCCGAAAGCACTGGCCGCTCAGACATAATGTCTCACTGCCCACACAGGCCACATGCAGAACAGACGACTGGCAAAAGAAGAAAAACCCAAGACAAGGCAACACGTTCCGATGTCCGTGTCTAGTCATGGGGGATTAAACAGGTCGGGCTGTCTCACTAAGGACAATTTCAAAGGCTGGAATAATAGATGAAGTCCTTTCCAGAAGGAAATGAATAGTTAGGAAGATAATGAAGGCCTCTCGGTCCAGGATCTGGAAGCGAAGGGGCCACCAGCTCTGTCGGCCAGGCCTAGGACCCACACACTACAGCAAGAATGAAAGGGCACGGTCTCTAGCCTGTGACCTTTGGAATGTTCTGTTATACGATGATAGGTAACTGAGAAAAAACCACACCCACATATGGGTGCCTGGTGGCTCAGTCGGTTAAGGATCTGACTCCTGATCTCGGCTCAGGTCTTGATCTCAGGTTCATGAGACTGCGCCCCACATCAGGCTCTGTGCTGAACATTCTCTCTCTGAAGATTCTCTCCCTCTGCAACCCCCCTCAAAACAAAACAAAACACAGAACACACACACACACATACACACAAATGACAAATCACGGTTCCTTCAAGAAAGAGGGCCATACGTGGGCAAGACTACAAAAGAAGTTCAGCTACGTTAGGGAAACTTTATTTCTTCCTCTGGATGTGAGCACAGAGGTTTGCTGTTACTTTCTCTTTACATCTTAAATATAAAGTTAAGGACATGTTCTGAAATTAACCTTCTTTCTGAAAGTATATGCTTTTTATACTTTAATTTTTTGTATCTTTTCTTTAAACATGTTTAAGTTTACATAAGGAAATGTGGCAATTTCAGAATTAATATCCAATTATTTTCAATTAAGTACTTTGCTTTTATTTGCTTGGGAAAAAATTAGCAATATGCAAAAAAGAAAGAAAGAAAGAAAGAAAGAAAAGATCCTTTTCCATGCGTCAACAGTTTCGCAGTTTGCATCCCTATCTATGTCAAAATACAGCCTATAATGCAGGCCCTTAAGTGGCGCTGTTTTGACATGAGGCCTGTGTCTGCATACACCACAAAGTTTACCGGAAAATGGCTTTTCCTGGCATAATTTGGTCAACGTCCCCTCATCTAAAGGAGGGAATCACCAATGTTTCCCCAGTTACCTTGACCATGTCTTTATACTTCTCCTTAAGCATCTGGTACATTTTGCTGTACTTGATGATAGAAATGAGGGACAGGGTGCTTTTAAATCCGCTCTTCTTGCTCTCCACAGACCACCGGGCCAACCTGGCCAGCAGCTCTTCTCCCAGCCAGGCAGGGTGGGGATAAACGATGCCATCTGAATGCCATCTTTCTGAACAGAAAATTAAAATAGATATGAACCTTTAAAAATAAGAGAAATATGAATAAGCAGAGCTAGTTTCAATTCTTATTTTTAAATTAAACATTTACCAAAAGACAGGACATGTTAAGACAGCTGTAAGTATAAATTATTTGATCTGAAACCCAAGAATTGGGAACTAGTGGCAGAACTTTCAACAAATAGAGAAAAACACATTTTTTCTAAGAGCAGAAAGAATTCTTTTCTTACAAATGCTATTAAAAATGTGTTTACCCATCCTATGAAGCCCATCCAAAGGATGGACACGTAACAGAACTCCTCCCACTGTCTGCTTCACGCACTGATTAGCCGCCTTCCAGATGTGTCAGGATTCTCCTGACACTGTTTTTATGTATTTTCACACATGCAACTCAAGTGTGAGTACACTGGCTCACCAAATACTTCCCGGCCAGAAAGTGGAGCGCTCAGCCCCACAGCTAAGGATGACCACAGTCCCCATGCAGCTCAGGGCTGCGTGCGCTGTGTGTCTCCATCCACTGCTACCTGCCCCATGCCAGGCACACAGCGGGGCCTCTCTGTCCGTGTGTTGAACACGCGAGTAAAAGCTCACCCCCAGGGACTCAGATCACAGGACGCTGTCTGAGGACACGATTCAGGCAGACCAATAAGGGGAGAGTGTCCAGTCTGTCGGGTGTGGAAAGGCTATAAAAAGGTGGTGTTCCACAGCGGCCCTAAGACAAGAGGAGGCATGGGAGACAAGGGTGCATAGGGGTCAAGGACAAGTAGGGGGCGAGAGTGAGAGGTCAGGTGCTCTGGCTGGAGCTAGGGCTGTCACGCTTTTAGCCACTGTGAGCCCTGGAGACACAACTCACCCCCTCTAAGTAACAGGCTCCGACTGTGCACTGGGAGGCACACCTTGGGGAGCTCACGCTGCAGGAAGAGCCTGGGAAGGACTCAGGCTGCCGCCCCCTTCTACCTGTCCCTTCACCTTTCACCTTGGAAGCTCCCTGATGGGGTAGGCACACCCTGTCAGGCCCCCTCCCCTGCTCGTCCCTGGGCCTCGGGCTCTTCTCCCAGGTGTCCCCCAGAGTCCCCATGGCCTACTCGCCCACCTGCTCAGGCCTCACCTGGGATGCCCCCTCCTCACGGGCATTGCCCACCCACTCTGTGTGGACATGGCATGACACCGCCTTTGTTACCGAGGGGCCATGGGGACACAGACACGGTTCCCCTGCTTTCCGGCCCTGCATGGTCCTCAGCACCAGGTGGTGGCAGAGCGAGTGTGTGTGTGTGTGTGTGTGTGTGTGTGGCACCGCTCCAAGCCCGCTGCAGAGCACGAGGTGGGACAGGCACACACCAACACCACTGTGATGACAGAAGTCCACGAGGAGCGCAGTGCACTACTGATGCAGCCCCGTCAAGCCCCATTTCGCTTATGCTCAGCACCTGGCCCGAGTGCCCAAAGGGATGTAAGGGACAGCTGCCTAGGGGCTCAAAGACAGGAAACGCCAACCTGGAATGATGGGAGCAGGCAGCCGAGTCCGAGCCCTGAGTCTGTGAGCAAAGAGTGGAACTGCCATGCGTGGAACGTACCATCGTGCTGCTATGACTGTGCCATGCTGGGCGCCTGCACAGCAGCCCTGAGCACAGGCCTTTAGGGGCTACCTGCCAGCTCTGCCATCAGCGCCCCCCACCCAGTGACCGCCACAGGAAACACGCTGTCCCCCAGGTGCCTGCTCCCAGTCCCCACTTTCCAACACAAGCACATAGAGGAAGGGCCCGGGGCCAGGTCCCTCGGGCAGTCTCTCAATAATTCTAAGAGTCTTCAGCCAGGCTGTAAGTCTTGCTATCAAGCTTCTATGCCTGCAACAGGTCCCTTTGAAGCCTAGGCCCTCCTCAGAAGTTCAAGAATTATTAAACCCATCACACAGGTAAGGAGACTGAGGGCCAGAGGCCACGTACCCAGGGTCACACTGCTAGTGGGCAAACCCAGGTCTATCTGCCTGCATAAGCAGGCTCTTCCCACAGTACCCCCCTGCTTTATACAAAGCCATGTGCCAAGCCCAGTCTGATTCAACAGCACAATCCCCAAGGTTGTTCTGAAAGTACAGACCAGACATGGCTCTCAGGAAAACAGCAGCAGCAGAGTGATGAAGTGAATGTATCCTTCCTCTGACTTTTCCATTTAAAAAACACCAAAGGGAAGTAAAACAAGTTTCACATTTGCGGTACAGGCCCAAAGCCACACGGAACGAAGGGGGCTACTGAACTGCCACTTTCGGGATAAGAACCACTGACTACCCACTACATACAGAACGTGAGCCTCAGCAGGAAATAAAAAAGGAAGCTATCCTCACTCCCTATTCCCAAGTTATAAGAAAGAAAATAATAAGGGGATTTGCGAATACTCAATTAGGCTAAACCTATGTGCTACTCATCACCCTGGCTACATGGACTGGGCAGAATACAGACTCAGGCCAGGTGCTGAAAGGAACCAAGACACGCCATGGAAAGGGCAACTAGAAACAGGTAACACGTTCCCACACCCCTTCACTGCCAAAGGGCACCTTCATCTATCTCTTCCATGACCCTGAGTCCTGCAGCTCCCCACACATGGGACGGAAACCATACAGCTCTGGAAGAGGACTCCATTCTGGAGCTCTTACCATTCTTCCTGGATCTGACTGAGCCGGATTTGATACACGTTGCTCATCTCAACCTTTACATTCCCACCATCATCTTCTTCCAAAGGTAAAAAAGTTACAGTTCCATTGAGGACATCTGGGGGAAAAAAAGACAGGGATAATCCAGTAAAACTGCTCGGTTCAGCGTTTTATAGAAGCAGTACTAAAAAGAGTCATGACTCAGGCCGACTTTGCTCTCCCAGGGCTTCCCTCCTCGCCACCCCACTCCCCCTTTATCACAGCGTCCGGGAGGACAGACACGTTTGATGTCCTATTCACTGCTGCATCCCGAGCCTACAGGTGGCCAGGCCCACGCAGCAGACACGCTCAGCAGCAGCTGAAGGGAGAAAGCCCTAGTTGAGGACCACTGCCTCTCCCCCACAGGGAAGCCAATCTGCAAGTGCAGACGTCTACATCTGAAGCCCTTGGGGGCACTGACTCACCAACCTCTGTCTGGTAGAGGGGAAATGAAGATCAAACACAGGAGACAGAAGCTGGAAGAGTTCCTAAATTTGTGTGGACATAACAGATGAAAAGAGAGCCTCCCAGCAGAGGGGACACGTGGGAAGAGCCTTGCAGAGGCAGAGAGGCGGACAGCACTGGGAAGTGGGGGTGGGAGGGAAGGCACCTACAGCAATTTGGTGTTGCTGAATGTGATCTCACAGCCTCTCGAAGGCAACGGCACCCAAATGCCCCAGCCTGTGTCTCTGCCATGTGACAAGGCACAGAGGGTCTCTGCAGATGTGACGAGGTTACAAACCTCAGGAAAGGGAGTACTCGGGATTAAGCAGGTGGCTCAGGTCAGTCACAGGGGCCCAGATAAGCTGAGAACTTTCTCCAGCTGGAGGGAGAAAAGGAGGATGCAAGCATGAGAAGGACTGGACACCACTGCGGGCTCTGAGATGCAAAAACCCGAGGGAGGCCTCCAGCAGCTGCTCCAGGAGCGGGCCTTCCACTCATCTCTTCCCCTGCTAAACTCCTATCCATCATTCAACACAGGGAGCTCCTTCACCTTCTCCCTCAGGCATTCCAGACCCCTCCCAACAATGACCCCATTCTCTACACTAGAAATACATATTTCTACGCGTCCCTTCAAAAAACAGTAAAAAAAATTTTTTTTACAACCTTCCTAGGACACTACAAAGGTACTGACATAGTAACCGTGCGTGCCTCTTCACTGATCTGAGGTTCAACAAATGCTTTTTCATCTAACTGCATCCTGTGCCAAAGATTCTCTCCCTGACCCAACTCCAGCCCGCCTCCTCTGCGCCCCGTCTCAACGAGACTCCAACCTGGCCTAGAAGCTTCATTCAACCCTGACACGGCTCCTAATAGCTCAAGGCTGCAGCCCTAGAATGACCCAAGCCTCCTCCAAAGCTGCCAGGACGGTATCTGCCCTGACCTGAAGGTGGGCCCCGCGCCCAGCGGGGAGGAGCCTAGGTTCCAGGAGCCCGCTGAGAAACCCCCGCTTCGGTGAATTTCCACCTCCCTCCCTCCGCCTGTCTCCACAAGACAGGCTCGTACCTTGCACGACTAGTTCTCTCCTCGGGACAGCAAGCGGGCAGCGAGGGCCTGTTTTCGGGATGAGGGTTCTGAGAACCACGGCGAGCTCGCTCGGCGCCTCCGGCTGGGATCCCGCCCTGGGCCCGCTAAGGAAGGCCAGCAGCTCTGGATGGCCGCCGTCGAGGCTCTGAGAGAAAGCGTCCCAGAGAGAATCCAGATTCGAGGCAGGGAAATCGCTCTCCCCGACTCCAGCCTCGCCGGCTGGCCCGGAACCCCCTGCGAGCCGAGCCGCGGCGTCCACTTCCCTGCGGTTCTCCCTTTGCCCGTGCCGGGGCTGCGATTCCCCGGGCCCGCGAATCGCGGTGCCCTGCGCCGGGCCTGTAGTGTGCCCAGGACCCAGGCCCTCACCGGGGGAGCGAGGACGGGGTCCGGCAGCGGCCCGGGGCAACGCCACACTCCGCCGGGCCTCCAGACGGACGCCACACAGCCGTTTGTTGGCCACCTGCGGCCTCTCCAGCCACACGGCCACCGCCGCCCAGAAGCCCCCCGGGAGTAGCGCACCCGGGTCGCACACAGCAGCCCGGCCCACCTCCGCCATGGTTAGCCCGCGCCCAGCGCTGCGCGACTACAGCGTGCCGCGACGACGCACAGGCGGCGCAGCCTGCGACGTCACGGGGCGGGGCGGATTCGTTCCCGGGGGCGGCCCGCGCGCTACGCAGTGTCGCCCACGCTGGCTTCTCCGGGGCCGCCCGCGCAGCGCGTGCTTCCTGCAGGGGCGTGTCTTCGCGGGGCTCGGACTACAGCCCTGGCTGCAGCGTGTGGATACTGCATCGGGCTCGGTAGGGCCGGGGCGTCTGTGGCGGATGCAAAGAGTGGGCCGAGGTCCGGGCAGCGCGGGCCTGTGGTCCGCGTGCGTCGGGTGGCCGCTGTCTCCGGCGTGTCCCCTGGAGGCCCGGGGCGGGTGGAAGGGCGGGCCTTGCCAGGCTGAGTCTGCAGGAACTGTGCCATGCCCAAAACTCCGGGAGCCTTTATTCTATTGGTGCCCTGGCCCCACTGCTGGGGCTCCTCTCACCCCCTCCAACAGTCTCTGCGGAGTGCAGGAGAAGCGCGTGATCTCCGGGAGAGCAGAGCGTGCCCCTGGTCTGTGCAGTCAGAGCAGCCTGCACGAGTGCTGGAGCCCCAGACACACCTGTTGACGCCGTCGCTGGGTCTTGGACCGCGTGGCTCTTGTTTATGCTGTCTGCAAGGTCCGCCTTACAAAGGGAAGAGCCAGTTACTTTGCTAGCAAAACTAGTTTATTCAGGAATCGCAGAGAAATCGCGAGCAATGGTGAGCCATAGACAGGTCTGAAGAGACGGAGGAAAGGTCAGCTTCTCTTAGGTGTTAGGAGAAAACTGGGGATGGAGAAGACCAGGAGTTCGAGGTTGGGCAGTTCCTCCTTGCGGCAAGCGTGCTTCATGCCCTGTTGCTGGGGTGGGGAGGGACCTTCCTTCTTTGTCTTAAAAGGAGATGGAATTCCGTGTGAAAAATGTCCTCTCTTGTCCCAAATAATTCTTTCTGCTGGTGATGCCAGCTGTAGCGAGTGGTACTTATGTGAGTGCTCCTTCTTTAAGGATTCCCAACTCTTATTTATTTATTTATTTGAGAGAGAGAGAGAGAGAGGATGAGCAGGAGGGGCAGAAGGAAAGAATCTCAAGCAGACTCCAGGTAGAGTATGGAGCCCCATACAGGGCTCAGTCTCACACCCCTGACTGACATCATGACCTGAGCTGAAATCAAGAATTGGATAAAACAGACAGAACCACTCAGGCACTCCCCCCAACACACACTTTAAATGAGGCTGTTTCTCTTCCTCTTTCCTGAGGGCTGCTATGACGAATCCCCACACAGTGAGGGGCTTGGAACAACAGAAATTCATTCTCTCATGGTTCTGGAGGCCCCGAGAGGGAACACTTCTTGCCTCTTTGGTTTCTGATGGTTGCCGGCAATTGTTAGCATCACTGGACTGTAGCCACCTAACTTGCCTCCATGGTCACACACTTTCTCCTAGTCTCTTCTACAAAGCTCCTATTTCCAAATAAGGCCACAGGTATAGTGGGTTGGGACTTTGACCTGTTTTTTTTAAGGGGGGGACAGAATTCAACCCCCAACTCTGTCCAAAGGGGCCTGGTTAGAGCAACCAAAAGACAAATAATGACAAACTTGCCAGTTACTAATATGTGGGGGTGCACCTGAGCCAAGTGTGGAGAATGCAGAGCTGAATGCAGGCACTTGGGCAAACTTCAGGCCAATGGCAGAGGCAAACATCTAAGACATGGTTTTGAAACATGAAAAGTGCAACATTCAACACAGGGTTGCGGGTTCAGAGGTTACAAAAAGAGGAAAGTTTCTCAGGCTCAGTGTTCTGTGTCCAGACCCTCTGGGGGTACGGAGGCTTTAGCTTGTCCTGACATTGGCTGATGGGTCCCTGCTGCCCTGCTGTGTGTCACAGGAGCCCAGGAGAAAGAGAGGATGCAGCAGAAACCTGGAGGCCTAGGGCTCTGGGGTGAGAGGTCATGAAGCCAGAAGACAGTGTTTAGAGGGGGTGGAAAATTCCAGTCGGCAGTGGGCGGGAATCCTTGTGTACGAGTTTATCGGCTTCTTGCTGGAACAAGAACAGATTTCACCCACCTCTTGGCTCGTACCTCCAAAGTCTGGATTACTCATCACCAAGGCCCTAGCCTTAGTTTTTGGCACAGAGGAGCTACCTAGTTAATTACTGAGTGTAAAGATCTGCGAGCGAAGGGAGCGTGGAGTGGGCGAGGAAGGAAGGATGGGGATAGAGAGAGACAAATGGCCAGAGCTAGGCAGGAAACTTGAGTAATAACAATGTGTTCAAATCATTGCACTTACCAGTGATGGCCAATAGAGCAAAGGGCTAAAGATGAGCAAGGCCAAATGGGGTGGAGTGGAGAGATGTCAAAATGATCAAGAATGGGTGGATGGGGACTGCTGCAGAGGACTGCCAGTTCATTGTCAGTGATGTCACCGCAAGAGCTCTTGGCCTCCCCTGCTGTTTGTAACCTGCTCCACTGCCTTTCCTGGAAGTCTTACCAGGAAGTATCTCACAAAACCTGCAGAAAACCAAGCTCCCCTTCTTTTCCCCCTAAGTTGCTCCCCCCTCTGCCGGTCTCAGAGGCATCTCTATCCACCCAGATCCCAGCAGGACAACCCAAACTTGAGTGACCCCTTCCTCTCTTCCTACCTCACTGCCATCCAAGAAGTTTCAGAGACCACCTAGTCCTACCCAGAGATGTCTAAAGTACACTCCTTGTCAGACTTGGGTCAAGCAGTGTCCTAAGGCCAGAGGGGAAACTGAGTGTGGGGTGCTGGGGGGCTGGCAAGCAGAGACCAGAAGGTGGGTTGTGTAGGAAAGCTGGGGTCAGAGCTGGGAACAGTAGTCCTGAACCCAGTCATCTGTGCAGGGATCCAGTGGAGAGATGAAACAATAAGACCAAAGCTGGCTATGAGCCAGCCCTGAGCAGCCTGAAGGGTTGCACTGACCTGCGAAGCAGAGGGCTGGGTGGAGAGAGAGAGCGGGGAGCCTCTTCTTCGTGTGTGCCCACCACCCCATGAGATACAGAACCAACAGTACAAAGTCATCCCCCATCCCTGCACCAGCTGCCTGCCACAGGCCTTCCCACCTCTCCCTTGCACCAGTTCACCTGTTCCTCCATCTTTACTTCTAGCCTGCCCGCCAGTGCCTGCTCCCCACCTCTGCACTGGATTGCAGTGATTTCCAAGTGGAAAGATATTTATCTGATATCAATAAAACATGTGAACCCAAATCATTTTCTAGTAGTCATTATTTTGGAAGAAACTGATCTAAAGGTGTGAATTATTACTCTATAATTCATTCATTTTATAAAAGATTCTCAAAAGTATATCCATTTGAAAAACAGTGGCGTGTACTTCTATTAGACCACTAATTTTTTATAAAGATTTATTTATTTGAGAGATAGAGAGAGAGAATGAGCAAGAGGGAAGAGGGAGAGAAAATCTCAAACAGATTCCACACTGAGCATGGAGCTAGACATGGGGCTTGATCTCATGACCCTGAAATCACAACCTGAGCCAAAACCAAGAGTCAGTTGCTCAACTGACTGTGCCACTCAGGCGCCCCTTATTAGACCATTATTATCTATTTGATTTTCAGGCCCTCCTGGGTGCTCCTGTGGATTCAGGGACCCCTTGTAATGATGCAGACCTGTGGCTGGAAACAGTGCCTGGTTGGGAATTAATTCTGTTGGCTTAGCATGGTAGATTCAGGGTCCCAACCGGTCATCCAGACTTTCCCTTCTGCAACAGGAAGAACCCCCTGATACTGAGTCTGGGAACACAGGGGAAGGTCCTACAGGACCAGCCAAGAGATCCCTTGGCTTCGCACAGGACAGAAATCAAAGGCAAGCCAGAGAAAGTGAAAACAGAGTTTACTGAATAGAGTGAGTGACAGAGACGAGCGGATGAAGTGTCTGGGAGACTCAGAAAGGAAATGAGAATGAGCCTCTTCCTCATGTCGGGTTAGGGGTTTATATTGGAAAAGGGTTCAGGGTACTGTTCCCCCAGGAATCCAGGGTAGCGTCAGTCAAAGGAGAGTGTTGGGTGAATGACAAATGTAATTCTGGGGGCGCCTGGGTGGCTCAGTGGGTTAAAGCCTCTGCCTTCAGCTCAGGTCATGATCCCTGGGTCCTGGGATCGAGCCCCGCATCAGGCTCTGTGCTTGGCAGATAGCCTGCTTCCCCTTCTCTCTCTCTGCCTGCTTCTCTGCCTACTTGTGATCTCTGTCTGTCAAATGAATAAATAAAATCTTTTTTAAAAATGTAATTCTGTACATAACCAAAGATGGGAATACTGAAGCCAGCATCGGCGGAGGCTTGCTTGGAGATAATGTCTTGGAACAAGTTTGGGACCCGCTCTTCTTAGATGTTATCAGGTGTTGGGGACCTAGGACAAAACTCAGAGAATGATTCACTTTCTTGCTTCCCCCCCATAAAGTGGGAACATAGCTTTGTTGGCTCATTCAGAAGCAAAATGCGGAACATGAGTAAACGGGACCCAGCAGAGGAACTGCGGAGAGGGAACCTTTCTGAAATGGAGTCCCGTCAGTTCCCCTACCTCAATGTTCCCAATGCTGAGTCCGTTTTCAATGAGAATCACAAGTGCGACAATGTGCAGCCATGGAACAAAGGAGAAGGTATTTCAGAGTGGAATGGGAACAGAGAGAGACTTCCCAAATATCAGCTGAGCGTTGCCACACAGTTCTACCACGGGTGTTGGGGGAGCAAAAGGCAAGCTGGGGGCAAATCCCAAGCTAACACCCCCAAAGCCCCCCGGGTGGGAGATGTGTGACATTCCTCAAGCACTTCTGGCTGCTGGAGAACAAAGGAAGGGGAAAAACCCAAACAGTTGACTGATACAGAGTCCTACAGGACACACATCTCCATGAGTTTGGAATTGTCTCAACGATTTATAAGAAAAAAAGCAATCTTATCCATAGCATGCCTCCAGAAACCATAGAATCAATTTCCTGGGACCCTAATATCACCCTCCTTCCATAGG